AGCTGTAAGGACAGCCCTCCAACTCCCTGCATGATTTTTTGCTAGTGTCCTTAGGTGACGGACACCTTTTCCCTGCTCTGAGAGAAGGACATCTGTTAGGATCCAGAGCGCCTCCAGGAGGCGCTGGAGCTAAGCCTTGCAGTTCCTGTGCTCACCTACAGGTGTCTCCAGAAAGCCAGGAGCTGTTAGGTACCAGATCACCACTGGGTGGTGCTGGAACCTGCAGCTTCAGTGCTCACCTGCGGGTGTCTCCCAGCTGCCAGTACTTAGCCATTACCTGGTGCTTCCTGGGAGGATATTTAAACCCTCCATGCAGTCAGGATGATGGCTCAGTGTCCTGCTATCATTTCCTGTGTGTCCTGAACCCTGGTTACCTGTTTGCAGTCTTGAACCCTGGTTATCTGTTTGCAGTCCTGAACCCTGGTTACCTGTTTGCAGTCCTGAACCCTGGTTACCTGTTTGCAGTCCTGAACCCTGGTTACCTGTTTGTAGTCCTGGACCCTGGTTACCTGTTTGCAGTCCTGGACCCTGGTTACCTGTTTGCAGTCCTGAACCCTGGTTACCTGTTTTGCAGTCCTGAACCTTGTTACCTGTTTTGCAGTCCTGAACCCTGTTCCTGTTTGCAATCATGTTCCCTTTTTGCAGTCCTGTTTCCTGTTTGCAGTCCTGTTACCTGTTTGCAGTCTTGGGCCCTGTTACCTGTTTGTAGGCCTGATTCCTGCTTGTTGCAGTCCTGTTGGGAATACAAATAAACTGTATATAATCTAATACTGCCTTGTCCGGTGGGGTCATACGTGTTTGGTCAACCTGTGTGGGTACCTGTATACGGTGTGGGGTAACCTGTGCCAGTACCCCTGACAACATCCTTTCTGCACTTTTCTGCTTCAAGCAGCGTACAGCCACTGTGACACCTTTTAGCAGCCACCTGGATTTGATTTCTCCTCGGTTGAGCCTTGGCGGACAAGGGCCCCTTGGAAGAAAGATGGGGTGCAGGGTTAAAATGTGCTCAGGGTACTGGATCCTGCATTGGACACCTTGTCACTGAAGGCAGCATGTTAAGTAACTTCAGGGTGCTATATAGGTTGAGGGACATGGTCTATCTGGGTGGGGCTTTGTCCCTTAAAACTCCCTTTGGGGGGTGTGCTCCCCAGGAGGGAGAAGATTGGATGGGCATGTCAATTTAATCGACTGCAGCTCCCCTCCCAGTCCAGCAGCACTAAGTTCAGGTAAGCCAGGGCTCAATCCCTGCATAGAACCCAGTGTATATGCTTCTGTCACTGAAAGGGTTTACATAGGGCTTATTAAATGCTTATTTTGCTTAGTGTGAAGCAAGGAAGTTCCAACCCAGGAAAAACCCCTTGAGATACGTCTTATCTTTCCTCCAGTCTGGCCTAGACCAGCATTTAGCCTTAAATCCAATTCCCTTTCAGAGGCTGCTTACTCTCTAGTGCTGGCCTTTGCGCAGGGTGTTGTTCATGTTGTCCCCCCTATACACACTCCAGTGACTCCATGAAACCTCAAATTAGTTCTGTTGCCTCTGCAAAAGTTGTACTTTGAACCTATCAGATATTTCCCCCTGACTCTGCTCACTCACAAGGTTGCCTTGCTCAATTCCATCATTCTTCCAGGTATGTTTCTGAGTTGGTGGCCTTACCTGTAAAGAGCCCTTTCCGTTTATCGTCAAAATTCAGGTGGTGCTGAGTCCTGAGGCAGTGGCGGATCTAGGGAACAAAGGGCCCTGGAGCAAGATTATTCTCCCCCCACCCAAAAAAAACCCCCTAACCCATATACCCTTTAGCAACCACAAAAAAAGTTGGAAAAATGGCATTGCTGTATAAAGTACTGCTGCGATTTGTAGTCCTCTATAAAGGGTGCCATTTTGCAATGCAGAATGGGACCTGCTATATAGAACTACAAATACCAGCTGTACTTTATACAGCAATGCCATCAATTGGGCTACAAATTCCCAACTGTTCCTCATCTGGAGGGACTGTCCCACATTTGGACCAAATCGCCCTGTCCCTCTTTCCTCCTCAGTTGCCCCTCTGTTTGGTCTGATGCACAGATATATTTGAAAATTTACTATGCATCTACCAAAATTGTTGTTCTGCTCTAAAACCTTCATTCTATCTCTTAATAATCTTGTTAACTATTCTGAAAATTCAATATAAAGGAAAAGTAATGGTGTAAAAAAAAAACAAAAAACAGTTCTGGATTAAACAATCATTTTTGGCATATACATTCTTAATGGTCTGTATAATTGGTGGCATGGCAGGGTTGTGTCCATTGCCTAAATATAATGTAATGGAAGGTTCTCAGAAAGTTGGGAGGTATGCATCTGTTCAAGAATGAATACCCTAAGTCCTGTGATGTAATTCAAGAAATGGGGTAAGGTAAGGCAAAGATCCTGTTTTACTGCTCTTTCATAGCTTTCTTGCTGCTCATCTTTCCTCCTTACATTTTAACATGGGTTAGCCATGAGCTGAATATTGGAGACAAAAAAAATTGTACTCCTAGATATTATTGTCTGCATTTTATTCATGAAATAATGACATCTAGTGGTAATATTTGGAATTTATTTGATGATACATCAAAGGAGAACTATGGGGTCCTCCAGTCACCCTAAGCTCAGTATACTGCGAGCTACGGCTCGCGGTATACTGAGACGCCGCAGCTGAAGCGGATCCCGACAATTATGTCTGGATCCGCCCAGCTGCATGAGTGACAGCTGGCTCTGCCTATCTAGAGGCAGAGCCAGCTGTACCCACCCCCTCCCCCGTCCGTTCCGCCAGTCAGCGCTGGAGGATCGGAGCTGGGAGGGGGGAATCCAGCAACTCCCCTGTCATGGCAGAGAGCTGTGACAGGATCGAGAAGTGAGCGAACGCTCACTTCTCGATCTACTGAGCCGACCTGTGACAGTCTCATTGTCACAGGTGGGCTTGAACTATGAGGTGAGTGAAAAGCACTCACCTCATAGTTCTGATTTAACAAAAATGTAGCTTATTTGTGTATCACTCAACTGTCACTATCCTTCCTTCTGGGGGGTGGCTACTTTTGTTCCTCATGGTCTGTGTGTGTTGTAAAGTTGTCACTGCTCCAAGCTCACTCCCGTGATGGACTACAGTCTCAGTACAAATTAGTAAACTAAACATGCGATTGTAGTCCATCATGGGAGCAGGTTTGGAGCGGTGACTACTTTACAACACACACATGAACCATGAGGAACAAAAGTAGCCACCCTCCAGGAGGCAGGACAGGGTCAGCATGAATTCAGAGATGATTTGAGGATCTACAGTTAGTGATACACACATAAGGTACATTTTTGTTATTAATTAAGGTACTTGAATGCATTTTTAAGATTTAACTTCTGAGTTTAGTGTCACTTCAGCACAGACAAAACAAGCTATCAGCACAGACAAAACAAGCTAATATAAATGTTATGATAACCTTGTTTAGAAGGCGATTAATGTAGGGGAAAAAATTACAGAAAAGTGGCACAAATTCCTGGGAGTTTTAGAGGAATTATAGTAAGATTAATTTAAATTTATTTTGCAGATCTTTGAAGCAATTTATTATGAAGCTGTGTAAGATAATATGTAGTGTAATATTTGCTTTTTAATATATGAATTGTTTGGAAAAATTGTAGTTTGGCATAAATACATTTTAACGCAATCAAATGTCCTGTTACTAATTAATCCATACATTCTACTTTCTTTGGAACCTTCTAATGCTATTGAGCATATTTAGCAAAATAAAAAGTAATGTGCAAAGTGCAGTAAGTGTAGCATATTTGTTTGTCATGACCTGGGTTGCTACCAACAAAGTATTTCTTTTTACCAGTTTTTGAGTGTCAGCCAAGCACTATGGTTCTTATTCAATGTTAAAGTGATACAGGACTGGGATTTTTATTTTGGGGTGCCTTCCAAAAATTTTAAAGTTATTTGTAAGCCTCAGAGCACTCTACAGTGTCCAATAATTAATTGTATCATACACAATTGTTACGTGATAATAAAACACATCAGAGAAACAATTTGATCATGCTATCAATACTGACATTTAAGTGAATTTAAAGATATGTGTGTGTATAATGTTTATACTTTTATTTAATAAATGGAAAACTATATTCCTAACAGGAACGCTCCACAATGTTCTCAACTTCCACTGAATTATACATTTCTATACCCATCATGCATGATGGGTATAGAAATGTATAATTCAGTGGAAGTTGAGAATTCGGTTCCTGGTTCAAGTGCTCAAGTACACAATAAAGTTTAACACAGATCACTGAAGATCCATGACAGGTACTAGTGAAAACATATGTCTAGACAAGAGCTTTTTGCACAATGGTCTATGTACGGCCGGACACCGACGGGCCCCCCCATCTCTGCCCCGGGGCTGTGTTTGACTGGATACTGGGCCCCCCCTGAAGGCTCAGGCCCCGGTGTGGCCGCACTGGCGGTAGTTCCGCCACTGGGTGTATGCTGTATATAAAGACCCCAGGAAAAAGGAAGGTCCATTACAGATCCCACTGCTTCCCTCCATAAGTCCCCTAAATTGTCCCCAAATGTTCGACTGCTGATATAGCCAAAGTTCATCCTTTTGTTTTAAATATATTAATGGCAGATAAGACCAACAGTTCATCCTTTTGTTTTAAATATATTAATGGCAGATAAGACCAACAGTATGTATTCAGCATTACTGTAGGGGCTTCCAGCCTTAGGACCATAAAGGTTACTTGCTACTTCTACCAAGCTGGCATCCAGAGCCCACTGATTTGGTGCTGGACAATCTCTTCTGTGTAGAGTAGCCCTGGTTTGTTTTGCCCTCCTGAACTCATCAATAGTTATTGCTTCCAGTAATTTAAAATGAATGTAACTACAGTGATCTTATTTGAATATTTCAATGGCCTCACAATGTAAAATTTGGCAAAGTTGGTGAAAAAAATATAGAAGACATACACATGTGAACACTGCTCACAATGAAAAGTTGACATTATTTTTATTTTAGTGAATATATTCTTAAAGCACATGATGCACAGCTATCCAGGGAACATTGGTTAAGTGGAGTTCACTACCAGAAGTTTCTGCATGTATGAGTTGAGCCACTTCTGTCTCTCCATAGCAGTTAACATTTTGCTCTTCTCTCGGAAAGCAGCATCATCAGCCACCACAATGTTCCTTTTATCCAGCTCTTCACTTGCAGGCCATGGAGGAAGCCATCTCTGGTCAAAGATTGCTCTGCTGATCTCGACATCATTTGGCAATACCTTTCTGGCTATCTCATTAGAGCCAAACAGAATCTGCCTGGCGATGGGCTGCAGAAGTAACTTTCTGGCTCTCTCTTCAGTGGGTTCATTGGGAAGAACATTTGATGGTAACATTTTAACACTCCAGTTGTGTAATAATATGGAAGGGAGCTGCTGGTTCCAGGAGTCTGGTCCAGTCATAAAGGGGTTTCTCTGTTTATTATTTATTGACTGGTCAGAAAGATCTATTTTCCAAAGTCTAGAAGGACAAAAACAAAATGGCATAATTTACAGTTGTTATTATACAGTAATAAAAACCCTGTCAAGTTTTTACTGCTGTCTGTGTCCCAGCTAGGTAGACTCATCCCTTTTTGTTCTGGTGACTGCTGTAACTTGAATTGTAAGTGATTGGAGATCCAATATTTTAAAAATTGTCACCAGAAGAACGTGAGTGTAATCTTCCAATGGAAATACCCAATTTGGATGATACCTGAGTGGAAGAAAAAATCCCAAGCCCGTTGTAGAGATTTCTTTTCACTTCCTATTGCATCTACGTGACAGGAAGTGAGGGAAGTGAAGGGAAGTGAAGGGAAATCTTCACAATGGGACACTTACAGATTTTAACACAGACAGCAAAGCTAAAAACTATACTATACATAGACTTTAATTTGAAATGCAAACACATAGCTAAATGTCTCATCTTATTCAAACCTTATCTCACAGTTCAGTTTGAGGTTTCAATCAAAGAAAACCAGCTAAAAGGCATGATGCTCTGCTTTTTCTTTAGCCAAATAAATCTGTGATCTAAGGGGAACTTTTTGTTATGCATTAAATGTTTATATGTAAAACAAATACTTTATACACTTAGGAAAATATGTTTTAAGATAATCTTTAAACTAAAAAACTTAAAAAGATAAATAGAATTGACCAAAGAGCATTATAGTTTACATTTAAACAAAGCCATGCTATCATTTTAACCTATCAATGAGAAATGAATAAAGGGAAATAATCAATAAAAGGACTCAATATGATTTCATGGCATGTAATATAACTGAATTACATGTTTGTATTTAAAGTAGATTAAGTAAACAGTTATGTAGTATACTTTTGAATATATCTGTTGAAGTCGCTTTCATGGGAAAACAGGATTTGCAGATAAGAAGTTGACCGTCCTAGGGGTTTCTTTTTTTGTCTCAATTCTCTCTTTAATTTCTAAAATATAATGATTTTTAGTATAACTGTATTAGCACTAAAGTAAATCTCTATAGGGTTGTAATGTACCGTAGTATGAAATAGACAGATATTATAAAAGAATAAAACATTTGAATATAATCTTTCAGTAGCAAAAATTCTAATACAACGTTATCAATTGATCTATAAAAGGAACCATAAATTAGAATAGTTATATAATAGCATGGAATGGTTGAATAATGAAAAATACACAGCAACATTGCATAATTTTGTGTATATCTTAATTAATATAATCATGATTTGTGGCTATCATGTAATTATCATTAGTCTACTGTATCTATAATAATAATAATAATAATAATAATTTCAAATGTCCATATTGAATCGAATAACTTTGTACATTTGTTTAGTCCATCTGTTGTAGCAGTGAAATATAATGTACATTTTTGTCATCTCTTATTTGCATTAAAGTTTTCAATAGGTAGATTCACCCATAGTCTTCTAATATCTCTCATCTGCTCTTGACTCCAGAGTCATCAGGTCCATTTTACTGCCTCAAGTTGGTGGATCTGTCAACTACTTACTGGTTATGAAGAAACTAGCACCAATAAAACTCTACAAGGTGGAAGCAGTAGAAGATGGCGGTGGGGGTTAGGATCTCAGGTATGGTTTTGCTGAATGATTCATCCCACTATTTTGCATACAAGGCTGAACTATAATATAATTTCTTTGAGTTTTAACCAGCAAAGCCATGTTTGTCCCCTTCACTCATTTTCTTCAGCTTGAAATCATAGTCTATACAGGAGCCCAATACAGGCTTGTGGCTATTTTATGTAAGTGCCTTTTTTGTGAATCCCACCTTTACTTAATCTCCTTCATATGAAGTGGTAGTGCTCTTTACCTAAAGTGTAGAAAAAAACAACACCCTGCATATTACCTGTTTGGATTCCGGATTATGGCTGGAGATGACAACACAATGCAGTACCCCAGAAGGACTGTGATCAGAAAGAAACTTCGCCCAGCAGCTCTTCTTTCCATGCCCTGTGCAATGTAACTACAAAGCAGTATATATGTTCATGTCATATGAAGTTATAACCTAATACATATTATTATACATAATTCTCTGTGCATATTATAAAAACATAAACATCAAAGATTTAGGAATGTATAGAAACCCACAGATGAATTCTGCTCAATTATGTCAGAAAGAGGCCAAACCCATTTTAATTTTAGTTTCCACCATAAATTCCAGATTTTCGGAGGCATATTTGTTTATAGATGATATAAAAATGTGAAAGTTTGGTAAAAGTTTCTTTTGTTAAACTATAGACACAGCTTCACTTAAACTTAAAGTTGCATGCAGAATGCTTGCATACCATGTACCATGTATCCAAAGGCAACTATCAGAATTAAATATTTCTTATTTGGTGCACCTGTAAACCTGTAAAATAAATCCACACATATGAAGAAAAAATAGAAAATTTCCCTTAACCCCTGCTCCCTCATGCATAGAACTTAGGTGATGGTGACATCACGATTCTTCCAGCCAGATCCTAGTAATGCTGATCCCAAATCTCAGGAAATGATGATCCTGCACTGTGCTTAAGCACCTTTTCATTAAATCACCCTCTTCAGTATAGAAGCTGGGGGCAGTGTAAGTGTTCAAACATTTCTGCACAGCTACTTTCTTTAAACAGGTATAATGCTGCATTGGTAAATGGGGGGAGGGGGGCAGTATATAATAAGCGGACCTTGTATTTTTGTGCAAGGCTGGCTTTAAAGCAGACCTAAAATCAGAAATGCCCCTTATGTCTTCTTGCCCCAAATGCTGTCTGAACTCACATAACTCTCAAACACTTACATGTGAGCCAGGGAACCCCCTTTATCAAAACATGATGATTTGCTTGCTCTTTCTGCTCTAAAGATGTAGGTAGACAACCAGAAATTTGATTGTCTGAGGAATTGACTGCTCAGTTTGAAGGTTGGGGCTGTAGCTTAAAGTAAACATACCAAGAGAAATTTAGTATCTGCCATTACTGACTTCTTCTGAAAATGCTAGTTGCCAGTTTACCATTGTGATTCATTGGCTTCAATACTCATTATGTTATTGACACAGAACAAGTATGCACATCAGGAGTTTTGACTTGGTGTTGACTTGCTAATCTGCATGCTTGTTCTAAGCCAGGGACAGCCAGACGACCTGCATTTTCAGAATAAGATTAGCAATGGCAGCCTACCATTCTTTGCTTAGCACAGGCTTACAATGGTACTGCCTCATAGTCTACATATGTAAAACAAAAATGTAAATGTAGAAGAAACTCAAAATCTCAATCTTTTTTGAAAATGAACACTTTGGAAAAGTAGATTTATTTTATGTGACAAAAACAGGCAACCTGTATGTCCACCATTACATTCTGATCTGTACACTTTGTCATAGAGATGTTTAATCTAATAAACACATATTGTCTATGCAATAAGGAGTGCAGAGAGCAACAATGTGTGCAAAGCACAGTAACTCATAGCGGCAAACCATGTCATCCTTTATCAGTTTAGAGCACAAAACAATGAAATATGCTTGCTGATTAGTTGCTCTAGGTGAACAGACCTGTACATTTCTTCTTGTCAGTAAGCTTATTTTAATTATAGAACTTTCCTGAGTTGATAGTTCTTCTGTCATTAAAGAGTCAGTCCAATCACATCTAATAATTCAATTTTTACTACATATTAATGGGTCACCAAGCAGCAACTTTTATGTTGAGGAAACATAAAAGTCTGCATCATAGGTCCTGGTTCCTCTTTCCTGTCTTAGATTTTTACCCCTCCTGCTTGGAATTTGATCCCTCCCCCCAAAAAACTAGTTGAGAGACTGAAACCGCTTGGGTCCCAGCTTCTATTCAAAAGATCTTGGAGCGCCACTATCCTGCCGCTATAATACCTGCATGATGTAAGATGTTTCAGATGAACTGAACCTTCAACATTTAGTTGTAAAGTAAAATTATTTTGAAGGTTTTAAAAGATTGCATACAGACAAGAAAAAAAACACTTTCAGCAGATTGCAAGTAGTTAAAATTATGGCAAAGAGGTGTATGTTATATTCTTTAGTTTACAGAGCACAAGTTGTCTATTATTGAATACATAAGCAAATAAGTTTGCCAATGGCTGTTTTATGATGCACTACACTCCTAGGTAAAAAAGGAGACTTTTGGAATCATACACCTGTTATCAGATAAAATTTACATTTAAAATACATTTTGGTATATATGGCTATTGAATCTCTCACACCTGTTTCCATGTGGAATTCTAAAAAGATGATAGTCTGTAGCTAGATTTTAAGCAAGAACACAAGGCAAAAATAAAAATATGTAAAAATAATTATGCTATAAATACAACTGGAGGACATGTGTACAACATCATAGGCAATTTATGAAAAGTGTATTACCATAGCCAATCTGAGATAGTTACATAGTATTTGAGGTTGAATAAAGACATTAGTCCATCAAGTCCAACCTATCCAAAAAGTCCAAAAAACCTGTTTGTTTTTTAAATGGTCAGTCCAGCCAAAAGTAATATAATAATTATTATATGTATAAACTGAATGAGCCTCTGACTTCTTATATGTCTTTAGTACTTGGGGGAGACCTCCATACCTTTATTCCTGGCTCTGTGCTTTCTAACTGGAGATTTTGGGAACTCTCCCCCACCAATGGTTGTTCCAGTATCTCCTGTTGCATTCTCCATAGTATAAACAAATAACCACAGCAGGTGTGGAGACACAGAAACTCGATTACCGAGATCTCACTAATAAAGCCCCCAAGGGCTAAAAGATAAAAGGGATAAAAGTCAGTGGTTTAACTTTCCAGCATCTACCAAACACTAACAGTGGGTGGACTATTCCTTTTATCTGAAAATACAATATTAATTTAATACCTTCCAAATGTTTAGTTTTATAATACTAAAAACATTGTATCCTTTGCTTGAAAGCTATTTGAATTGGTGCTAGATGTACTTTTGCACAGGTCTTAGAAATAAATGTTGTAAAAGTACAATAGTAGTATGTTGTACAAATATACAATAGTATTAAGTATTATTTGTTTTATATAAAAAATGGAGTTTACCTGATTAGTCTATCTTTATCTTCTTCAATTTTTGTCTTGAGGAGCCTCTATGAAGTGCAATGATTTTTTTTACAATCCACTGGCTCCTCTTTTCATTTATATACACGTAAATATGATGCAGAAATGACGCAAATTTATTTTTTGTTTCCTTATATGAAAAATTGACTATGTCACCTCTGCCCATAAAACTCACGGGTCTCTTCGATAGCTCTTCAACATCTATTAGTATGAGGCCTCGTGTCGAGACATGAAGGAGGAGGCAAGAGGAAAGAAGTGGATATAGTTACTTTATTGGTTGCCTTTGTTTCTTTAGCACAGCATATACTCCTGTAAAATGGGTAAACTGGATACATTAATGAATTGAATAATGACATGCAAAAATTAGGTGAGCCTTCTTTGCGAAGCCTAAGGATCGAGACTGGTGTCAGGATTGCAAGTGAAGAATCCAATATTGTTGGTTTTAATTCAAAGTCAGCAGAAGCAATGGACCTCTTGCTTAACCCACCTCCTCCTTCTTCTCTTCCTGTTGTCTTGCATTTAATTCTACAATATCAAATGTCCAGGAAACTCTATGACCTGATGTGTTGGGGTTAAGGGTGACCTTGTTAAAAATGTAGTGACGATGATCTAATTGTTTATGGAACAAGAGCCATCGTTAGCTTGTTAGCTGCTCGGAACTTACACATGAGTCACCAGCCTTTCTGACAGATGATGTGACAATCAGACGTGAAATAATGGCTGTCCTTGTTCTTGAATTTTCCTATCATTAGAGAAACAAATTTTAAGAATAATGAAGTTTATTTGTATGGCAAAAAAAGTTTTTGTTATCTACTTGAACAGGATTTAATTCTGAAAAAAGAAATTGGGTGCTCATAGACATCGATACCTACAATTTTGGCAGGATTAATGAAACTTGGGGTGTTTATATGGTAGTAGCAATGTTCTGTTGACTAGAAGCTATCAACTGAGTTTTGGTTTTGCATGTTGACTGTTATTCCCAATATAACACCAGCAGTCACAGTATCTACTTTTTATATAAATATAGGATATGAGCGCACAGTTTGCATTATTATGTGAAGGAAATCTTCTGTAGAAATATTATTCTATTCAATGATTGTTTCCTTATACTTATTCACCTTCTGCATTTTGTGGGTCGCTATAGAATGCATATGGCTTACTGGGAAAATGTGAGTCATAGACCCAAAAGACCAGACTTTTGCTTAAAGCTGAAAAGCTAAATACACAGATGAAACACATCAAATGTAACTATATTTATATAGCTGGGGATTTTAATTTCTGCCCATTCAGTCCTGAGATTTACACAGTCCTGTAACAGAACACAGTCAGGTGAATGGCAATACCTTCTCTGCTACAGTTATAGACTGTAGATGGGATACCGTTGTGTCCTCTTGCCACACCTAGCCTGCTGACTGAATAATGAAAGAGCAGCCACAGACTGATAAGGAAATCCCTTTGCACACCATGCTCTCTTCACTCACCTTTGTCTTTGTCAGCTCATTTGAATGCAGTTTACTTAAATGGCTCCCAGTGCTGCACCTCCCTCTCACAGTACTGCTGTACAGGGATTGCAATAAATTGAAGATAGGCACTTACACTAGTTGGATTTAAAAAAGTATGACTATTTTTAATGTTTACAGAGCTTCAAATCTTTGCAAATATCTGCCTGGAGTACAGCATTAAAACCACTTTGCCACCTGGTTACAAATCTGTAACAAAGCAGGACCTGCAAAAAAAGAGGCTATCATGTATCTAGTGAGAGACCGACAGATGTGGAGGCTTCTCTTGCTTCTCGCATCCTACACCCCCTGGAGGTGGGGACAGAGTGTGAGAGGACGACCAGTAGCACGAATGCCACTGATGGGATCAGGCACTTGTGCACAAAATGTCCAGGAGCGGATAAGCTGAATCAGGAGACAGAAGCGTAGCCAGGGATAGCCAAGGATCGGAACCAGCCAGGGAGTGAAGGTACAGAATCAGCAGGCAGCAAACAAGTCCAGGAAACAGGCAGAGGTCAGGGCAGACAGCAAGCAAACAATCCGGGTCAAGAATATAATAACAGAGAATCCAACAGAGCAACGGGCACAGGAACACAGTAAAATGAATCCAAAGCGCCAGAAACGACCGACAGTTGAAAATAAAGTGCAAGCGAGGATAACTAGGGGTGCTGCCCCACTTCAGCCTGGGAAGCTGCAACACTATGGGAGAAAACAATAGAGAAGTGCACCCACCCTAGTGTAGATGTTTTGTTAATGATAAAAACTGAAGTACAGGGTAAAAACATACTCACAAAAGTGAATCAGTAAAATCATAAAAGGCGAGCCTGGATGACATAGACCACAGCTGATAGACCATCAGCACAGGGACAAGGGCAGGACCGTTTAAATAGACCAATTCATCAAGGTAGGGGCATCACTTCCCGTACGCTGGATGTTTGCGCGCCTTTGCGAGTATTTTCAATTGTGCTTGCATGCAGCACAATAGCGTGTTTCCTGGCCACCCTTAACATGGGTTTGCGCGCATGGGCGGCCATCGTCTTTACTTGATAGAGGCCTTATACTTACCTGTTCTGCTGCCCAGTCCTCCAAATTTAAAAAGCCTTTTTACAATCAACACACTTCTGGGTGTGTTGGTTGCCTGGTCCCCCTTATGCATTGTGGTTTCTACTGCTGGCCCCTATGTAACTGCAGGACACAGTATTGATGTTGGAGTTAGCGGAAGGAACCACAGGGCCCAATGGAAGAGCAGGCATCTGGCACACAAGGAACATGAAAAATGTTCAGGCGGCCGTAAATCTTGAGCAGAGATGAGATGGATGGGTGTCTGGACAGGTGAGTATAAAGTGTCTTCTTTGCGGGTGATGCTTAGATAAAATAATTTATTCTGATAACTGTATGTTGTTAATGTAACATGTAATGTAGTGTTTAGGTATTCTTTTTTTTATTTTACATGTAGACAATGCTTTCCAACAAATGTGCCAGGGTGCTTGCAAAAGTCAACCTTTATAAACATGATTTAAATACTCTGGTGCTACAATGATTCAAGAGCACATGACAATCTTAAAAGTTTGTTACAACCCAATCACTGTCCTTTATTTTGGACAGCTTGCATGTAAAGCAGTAACAAGAGAAGTGACTAATCATGGCTATGATAATATAAGATGTTCTATTGGGGAGAGGAGGACATGAAGGGGTTCTAAACCCTCATTTTTTAGCCTATATCTACTGCTAGCAAGCAGTAGATATAGACAAAAAGTAAAAAACAAAAACAAAAAAAACCCCGCTTCTAACAGCGGTTTACACTTACCCTGTTTTCGTTGCGCGCTCCCGCCCGAGAATCTGAAACTGCTCGGGTGGCCGCAAAGCATCTTGGGGGAGGCGCATGCGCAGTTCAGGTTTTCGGCCGGGAGACGAGCAGAGACGCAAGGTAAGTCTATGGACGCGTGGATCGGAAGTGCCTGCAAGCAGAGAGGAGTCAGCGCTGGATAGGAGAGCCGCCACACAACTGGAAGGACAGATGAAAACATCAGGAAAGAAGAGGAAGATCGGATTAAGAAACCTCATTTAAGGTAAGTGCTAACATTAACATTGGGGGGAGGGAAAACAATTTTTGACTTTAATGTCACTTTAACATGCCCTCAGCCACCAATGTCAGACATACTGTAGTTTTGTAAATATATACAGTATAAATATATATAGGATATTGTATACATTTGCAAAAGTCTTGTCAGGCTCAGCCAAATAATCCTAATGTCATACATTATTCAGTCTTTCATTTCTGGTATATTTTACTGTAGTTATGTTTTGTTGGAAGTATGTTAGTGTTTTTTGTAAGTGCCAAGGAATGACTGTGTGCAAATTGTTGTAAATACCATATTGACTTTTATCAAAACATGCTTGCTTGCTTAGTAAGTAATTTAGTTATTTTAAGAGGTACGTTATAGGTGTTATAATAAATATAGTGTTGTGGTTTTGTATGATGCAGCAATTGTTTTGATAACTAGCTTCACTTAGTTCCAAATACTGACATGACAGATAGTCACGGAGCTAATGACAGAAAAGAAATACGCGGAGGGACTACATGACAGGGCGAACATGGGAACAGGAAGGAGGGATCAAGGTTTTTCTTCAAAATGGAGGGGGCACTTACCTGATTGGCCGAGTTATAGGTAGTCTAGGAGGGGCTTCACAGTAGGATGAGGGGGCGGAGAATTCTTCCTGGTCAGTTGGTAATTAGCACACGGCGAGGAACTTCTCCCTGTCCCAGGCTGTCCTGATTTCTGAAAAACAAAATGGCTAATTTAGATGGCTTAATGGCCCAACTACAAGCAGCCGCTGCTGAGCATGGTGCAGATTGGCTTCAGCACCAGGTTTCTGTTCTCCTGCAGGGAACTCAACCTATCCCTACAGGTCGGGCCTCACGTGCGAGGAGGTCTAGGCCTCCTGCGCACTTCTCCCCCGAGGCCAGTTCCAATTTGAGGGCTCAGCGCCGCGTTAGGAGCCCCTCCAGGGACCCTCCAGGCCCACCGTCCAAGCATGCTCCTGCGCTGGGTAGCAGTGGGCCTGGGAGGAATCCTCATCCCAGGCGGAGCCCAAGGGAGAGAATGTGGTCCGGACACCCCACGGTTCATACCTCCCTACCTGCTGCCAGTCTGGAGCTTTCGGCCGCCTCACATGGCGATGTTCCGGTCTGTGAGGTGGCTCGGCGAGGGACGCGTCAAGCTGCGGGCGCCGGCCCGTCACGAGGTACGGCCGGCGGCCCCTCCTCCTCATCTATGGCTATGCCTGGGCTGGCTGGTCCGGTGCCTGACCCCGCGGCTGTTTGTCGGAGCGGGCGCCGCACGGGACAGCCTGTGGCCTCTGAAGGGCCCTCGGTGGGCGGAAGACTCCGGGTGGTGAGAGCAGACAGGTCGGGTGTGACTGCGGGTGCCGGCCCGAGGTTTTCGTATCCTGTGCTCTTTGTCTGTTATTCCTCCAGTTGCTGGTAACTTGAAGTCAGCGCTTCAGCATCCCTCGGTCGTGTCGGACAAGTTCTTTAAGGAGATGCG